ATATATGTTAAACCTGCCAAACTGAGGGCAAGACTCCTCCACATGAGCCTTTTTCTAAAACCAGTAGTATATATAGTAAAACTAGAATTATGTTATGCAATATCTGTATTTCCCTTTGTAATAGTACAATTCTGGAAATTCTGTGTTTTCATACAGTGTTATTTATCCTTCCTTTGTTCTAGTTCCACTCCATCTTATCCAGTAAACAATAAACATTTATCTTGACTTTCTCTTTGACAGAAAACTGGGCTTGGCAAAGATCAGGATCAAAGATAAGAGAAAGAATCTCTGTTTTCAGAGCCCTAGAGGCATATGGGGTCAAGTCACTACACAATAGTATTTTGTGCTGTGATAATATTTCAGGGGACCCTAACACTGACACCAACACATGAAAAGGTACTAGAAAGGACTGCCTGGGAAATGTTAACAACTGAATAACAAAATGAAAACAAATAGTTGGTCAGGGAAGGTGGGGATAAAGGCTTCCTAGTCAGATTAATAACATTTGCAAAGATGTTACGGAAGTGTAGTGCATAGTCAGTATTCAGTTTGTTGAATCAAAAAAAGAATGAAAATGCATAACCAAATATTATATTGTTTGATTCTACTAAAAGCCAGTTCTTAAGTGCTGATTGTCCACCAAACACTGCATGTGCCAAGTGATTTACATGTATAATTTCATTCATATGACCTTGTAAGTTAAATAATCTCCATTTTACCTTACATTTAGTGAAACTAAATGTATTTATAAGGCAAATGGAAATTAAGTAATTTGTCCTGAGATCATACAGTGAGTTAAAGTCCAGTGTAACTTCAGGGCCTAGAAGAGTCATCGTTGTTGAAAAGGCTGAGGATCACTGGTGAACATCTCAAATGTAACTGTCTTAGTTCTCTCCTGCTGTGATAACAGAAATACCACATGTGGGTGATTTTAACACAAAAATTTATTCTCTCACGGTTTGGGAGACTAGAGGTTGGAATTCTGAGCACCAACTCTGGAAAAAGGTTCTTCTCTCTGGAGGTTTCCATGTGTCTTAGCATCAGTTGTCCCCTGAGTCTGGAGCATCAGAGGTCAGGGACTCCAGGTCCAAAGGTTGCACTCCACTCCTGGTTCTTCTTTCTACGTGGTTGAAGGTCCGTCTCTCTCTACTCACTTCTCTCGTATCTCAAGAAATTGGCTCAAGATACAATCTAAGCCTGTAGGTTGCATCTGACCCCATTAACATCATGGAAGTGAGGTTATACAGCACATTGGATAATTAGATTAGATCTGATATCAGATCATATCATGGAGTTGATTGTATTATATTAAATTAAATCATAGAGGTGATAACTACATCTTAACTGAATTCTGGCCAATCCAAGTTAACACAAAACCTTAATTATTAAAAAAAAATTTTTTTTTTTAAATTGGTATTTGGTATTTCTGAATAAATTCAGGAACTTCACAAGATACCACTAGGAACATGTCAAATGCAAGCAATACCAATATTATACAAGCAAAATAATTGTAATTTCCAATGAAAAAATATCCAAGGGGAAATGGTCATATGAAATTTAAAAATATTGGTGTATCTGCTCATGAATATAAAGTTAGAAGGGACAGATCAAGAATATTAATTTTTAAAAAAATATTTCTGAAGGAGTGAAGGTTAATTTAAGAAATCATGAATAAGCCTCATTACATCTGCTTCCCTTTACACAAAATATTCTGCTTCCCTTTATACAAAATATCCA